TCTCAACTAGCTGAGTCATGTTAGACGTGTTTATCTCTACTAGCTGAGTCATGTTAGACGTGTTTATCTCTAACTAGCTGAGTCATGTTAGATGTTTTATCTTACTAGCTGAGTCATGTTAGACGTGTTTATCTCTACTAGCTGAGTCATGTTAGACGTGTTTATCTCTACTAGCTGAGTCATGTTAGACGTGTTTATCTCTACTAGCTGAGTCATGTTAGACGTGTTTATCTCTACTAGCTGAGTCATGTTAGACGTGTTTATCCTACTAGGCTGAGCATGTTAGAACTGTTATCTCTACTAGCTGAGTCATGTTAGACGTGTTATCTCTACTAGCTGAGTCATGTTAGACGTGTTTTATCTCTACTATCTGAGTCATGTTAGACGTGTTTATCTCAACTAGCTGAGTCATGTTAGATGTGTTTATATCTCTCTAGCTGAGTCATGTTAGACGTGTTTATCTCACTAGCTTGAGTCATGTTAGATGTTGTGTATCTCTACTAGCTGAGTCATGTTAGACGTGTTTATCTCTACTAGCTGAGTCATGTTAGATCGTGGTTTATCTCTACTAGCTGAGTCATGTTAGACGTGTTTATTCTCTACTAGCTGAGTCATGTTAGAACGGTGTTATATCTTCCTACTAGCTGAGTCATGTTAGACGTGTTTATCTCTACTAGCTGAGTCATGTTAGACGTGTTTATCTCTACTAGCTGAGTCAATGTTAGACGTGTGTTATCTCTACTAGCTGAGTCTAGCTGAGTCATGTTAGACGTGTTTATCTCCTACTAGCTGAGTCATGTTAGACGTGTTTATCTCTACTAGCTGAGTCATGTTAGACGTGTTTATCTCTACTAGCTGAGTCATGTTAGACGTGTTTATCTCACTAGCTGAGTCATGTTAGATGTGTTTATTCTCTACTAGCTGAGTCATGTTTAGACGTGTTTATCTCTACTAGCTGAGTCATGTTAGATGTGTTTATCTCTACTAGCTGAGTCAATGTTAGATGTGTTTATCCTCTACTAGCTGAGTCATGTTAGACGTGTTATCTCTACTAGCTGAGTCATGTTAGACGTTTTTATCTCTACTAGCTGAGTCATGTTAGACGTGTTTATCTCTACTAGCTGAGTCATGTTAGACGTGTTTATCCCCTACTAGCTGAGTCATGTTAGACGTGTTTATCTCTACTAGCTGAGTCATGTTAGACGTGTTTACTCTACTAGCTGAGTCATGTTAGACGTGTTTATCTCTACTAGCTGAGTCATGTTAGACGTGTTTATCTCTACTAGCTGAGTCATGTTAGACGTGTTTATCCCTACTAGCTGAGTCATGTTAGACGTGTTTATCTCTACTAGCTGAGTCATGTTAGACGTGTTTATCCCTACTAGCTGAGTCATGTTAGGACGTGTTTATCTCTACTAGCTGAGTCATGTAGACGTGTTTATCTCTACAAGCGGGAGTCATGTTAGACCGTGTTTATCTCAACTAGCTGAGTCATGTTAGACGTGTTTATCTCTACTAGCTGAGTCATGTTAGACGGTCCCTAGGAGTCAGGTAAGTGTATCCTACTAGCTGAGTCATGTTAGACGTTGTTATCTCTACTAGCTTGAGTCATGTTAGACGTGTTTATCTCAACTAGCTGAGTCATGTTAGACCGTGTTTATCTCTACTAGCTGAGTCATGTTAGACTGTTTATCTCAACTAGCTGAGTCATGTTAGATGTGTTTATCTCTACTAGCTGAGTCATGTTAGACGTGTTTATCTCTACTAGCGAGTCATGTTAGACGTGTTTTATCCCTACTAGCTGAGTCATGTTAGAACGTGTTTATCTCTACTAGCTGAGTCATGTTAGACGTGTTTATCTCTACTAGCTGAGTCATGTTAGACGTGTTTATCTCTACTAGCTGAGTCATGTTAGACGTTGTTTATCTCAACTAGCTGAGTCATGTTAGATGTGTTATCTCTACTAGCTGAGTCATGTTAGACGTGTTTATCTCTACTAGCTGAGTCATGTTAGATGTGTTTATCTCTACTAGCTGAGTCATGTTAGACGTGTTTTATCTCTACTAGCTGAGTCATGTAGACGTGTTTATCCCTACTAGCTGAGTCATGTTAGACGTGTTTTATCTCTACTAGCTGAGTCATGTTAGACGTGTTTATCTCTACTAGCTGAGTCATGTTAGACGTGTTTATCTCTACTAGCTGAGTCATGTTAGACGTGTTTATCTCAACTAGCTGAGTCATGTTAGATGTGTTTATCTCTACTAGCTGAGTCATGTTAGACGTGTTTATCTCTACTAGCTGAGTCATGTTAGATGTGTTTATCTCTACTAGCTGAGTCATGTTAGATGTGTTTATCTCTACTAGCTGAGTCATGTTAGACGTGTTTATCTCTACTAGCTGAGTCATGTTAGACGTGTTTATCTCTACTAGCTGAGTCATGTTAGACGTGTTTATCTCTACTAGCTGAGTCATGTTAGACGTGTTTATCCCTACTAGCTGAGTCATGTTAGACGTGTTTATCTCTACTAGCTGAGTCATGTTAGACGTGTTTATCTCTACTAGCTGAGTCATGTTAGACGTGTTTATCTCTACAAGCTGAGTCATGTTAGACGTGTTTATCTCTACTAGCTGAGTCATGTTAGACGTGTTTATCCCTACTAGCTGAGTCATGTTAGACGTGTTTATCTCTACTAGCTGAGTCATGTTAGACGTGTTTATCCCTACTAGCTGAGTCATGTTAGACGTGTTTATCTCTACTAGCTGAGTCATGTTAGACGTGTTTATCTCTACAAGCTGAGTCATGTTAGACGTGTTTATCTCAACTAGCTGAGTCATGTTAGACGTGTTTATCTCTACTAGCTGAGTCATGTTAGACGTGTTTATCCCTACTAGCTGAGTCATGTTAGACGTGTTTATCTCTACTAGCTGAGTCATGTTAGACGTGTTTATCTCAACTAGCTGAGTCATGTTAGACGTGTTTATCTCTACTAGCTGAGTCATGTTAGACGTGTTTATCTCAACTAGCTGAGTCATGTTAGATGTGTTTATCTCTACTAGCTGAGTCATGTTAGACGTGTTTATCTCTACTAGCTGAGTCATGTTAGACGTGTTTATCCCTACTAGCTGAGTCTTGTTAGACGTGTTTATCTCTACTAGCTGAGTCATGTTAGACGTGTTTATCTCTACTAGCTGAGTCATGTTAGACGTGTTTATCTCTACTAGCTGAGTCATGTTAGACGTGTTTATCTCAACTAGCTGAGTCATGTTAGATGTGTTTATCTCTACTAGCTGAGTCATGTTAGACGTGTTTATCTCTACTAGCTGAGTCATGTTAGATGTGTTTATCTCTACTAGCTGAGTCATGTTAGACGTGTTTATCTCTACTAGCTGAGTCATGTTAGACGTGTTTATCCCTACTAGCTGAGTCATGTTAGACGTGTTTATCTCTACTAGCTGAGTCATGTTAGACGTGTTTATCTCTACTAGCTGAGTCATGTTAGACGTGTTATCTCTACTAGCTGAGTCATGTTAGACGTGTTTATCTCTACTAGCTGAGTCATGTTAGACGTGTTTATCTCAACTAGCTGAGTCATGTTAGACGTGTTTATCTCTACTAGCTGAGTCATGTTAGATGTGTTTATCTCTACTAGCTGAGTCATGTTAGACGTGTTTATCTCTACTAGCTGAGTCATGTTAGACGTGTTTATCTCTACTAGCTGAGTCATGTTAGACGTGTTTATCTCAACTAGCTGAGTCATGTTAGACGTGTTTATCCCTACTAGCTGAGTCATGTTAGACGTGTTTATCTCTACTAGCTGAGTCAGTTAAGACGTGTTTATCTCTACTAGCTGAGTCATGTTAGAACGTGTTTATCTCTACAAGCTGAGTCATGTTAGACGTGGTTTATCTCTACTAGCTGAGTCATGTTAGACGTGTTTATCCCTACTAGCTGAGTCATGTTAGACGTGTTTATCTCTACTAGCTGAGTCATGTTAGCACGTGTTTATCTCTACTAGCTGAGTCCATGTTAGACGTGTTTTATCTCAACTAGCTGAGTCATGTTAGACGTGTTTATCTCTACTAGCTGAGTCATGTTAGATGTGTTTATCTCTACAAGCTGAGTCATGTTAGACGTGTTTATCTCTACTAGCTGAGTCATGTTAGATGTGTTTATCTCTACTAGCTGAGTCATGTTAGACGTGTTTATCTCTACTAGCTGAGTCATGTTAGACGTGTTTATCTCAACAAGCTGAGTCATGTTAGACGTGTTTATCTCAACAAGCTGAGTCATGTTAGACGTGTTTATCTCTACTAGCTGAGTCATGTTAGATGTGTTTATCTCTACTAGCTGAGTCATGTTAGACGTGTTTATCTCTACTAGCTGAGTCATGTTAGACGTGTTTATCTCAACTAGCTGAGTCATGTTAGATGTGTTTATCTCTTACTAGCTGAGTCATTTAGACGTGTTTATCTCTACTAGCTGAGTCATGTTAGACGTGTCTTATTCTCTACTAGCTGAGTCATGTTAGACGTGTTTATCTCTACTAGCTGAGTCATGTTAGACGTGTTTATCCCTACTAGCTGAGTCATTTAGACGTGTTATCTCTACTAGCTGAGTCCATGTTAGACGTGTTTATCTCTACTAGCTGAGTCATGTTAGACGTGTTGATCCTCAACTAGCTGAGTCATGTTAGACGTGTTTATCTCTTACTAGCTGAGTCATGTTAGACGTGTTTAGCTCAACTAGCTGAGTCATGTTAGACGTGTTTATCTCTACTAGCTGAGTCCATGTTAGAACGTGTTTTATCTCAACTAGCTGAGTCATGTTAGACGGTTTTATCTCTACTACTGAGTCATGTTAGACGTGTTTATCTCAACTAGCTGAGTCATGTTAGACGTGTTTATCTCAACAAGCTGAGTCATGTTAGACGTGTTTATCTCAACTAGCTGAGTCATGTTAGACGTGTTTATCTCTACTAGCTGAGTCATGTTAGACCCACCGGGACAGTTTGAGCTGCGTCAGCTGGACCTCCATCTTCTCCAGCACGGCGGGCAGTGGGCAGCCGTCGGCGGGCATTAGCGAGAAGCTGTTCCCCACCGTGATCAGACCCAGGTCCATCACCAGTGCATGCTGGGAGCTGGAGTTCTGGGGCACGATGATGAGCGGCGCCTTCAGCTTGATGTCCATGGACAGACGGAAACTCTTCTGGGCGAAATCCTTCACGCTGAGCGCCGCCTGAGCCGCCGCCTGAGCCGTGGCGGCGCTCAGAGCCGCTTTAGCCGTCTGGAAGTGATCCACGAACGTCTGGAACACATTCAAATCAATCAGGAATAAATAAACACGTTCAGGGCCGCATCGGAGTTTACAGCACCGTCTCTGTTTCTGCATGTCAAGTACAAACCAGAACAGACTTATCAATCATTTAAAACTGAGATACTCCAGAACATCACAGTTTTTAGATTTTAAATTAAACTATCTATATCTCAAATGTGATATTCCAGAGCATCACATATTACATATCAGAGTTGGTTTGTTGTTGAAATGGTTACAAATTATTCTTGTTTTAGTTTATGAAACAAACAAGGGTGAGGGAGTTGAGAACATATCTCAGGAGGGAAGTGATGTCACACAGGAAGTGATGTCACACAGGCAGAGGTCATGTGACCGAGGGGAGGGTGATAATGATGGAGCAGCATAGCAGTGATGGTGTAGGTGATGTGAGAAACGGTCCATGGGAGCGCTTGATTTATCCTTCTGACACCACCACACGGGCAGAGTTAACACCAAATTAAGGTGGACTGTAGGTAGTGTTTAAGGTGGACTGAAGGTGTTTAAGGTGGACTGAAGGTAGTGTTTAAGGTGGACTGAAGGTGGTGTTTAAGGTGGACTGAAGGTGTTTAAGGTGGACTGAAGGTAGTGTTTAAGGTGGACTGAAGGTGGTGTTTAAGGTGGACTGAAGGTAGTGTTTAAGGTGGACTGAAGGTGTTTAAGGTGGACTGAAGGTGGGTGTTTAAGGTGGCTGAAGGTGGTTGTGTTTAAGGTGGACTGAAGGTAGTGTTTAAGGTGGACTGAAGGTAGTGTTTAAGGTGGACTGAAGGTAGTGTTTAAGGTGGACTGAAGGTGTTTAAGGTGGACTGAAGGTGGTGTTTAAGGTGGACTGAAGGTAGTGTTTAAGGTGGACTGTAGGTAGTGTTTAAGGTGGACTGAAGGTGTTTAAGGTGGACTGAAGGTAGTGTTTAAGGTGGACTGAAGGTGGTGTTTTAAGGTGGACTGAAGGTGGTGTTTAAGGTGGACTGAAGGTGTTTAAGGTGGACTGAAGGTAGTGTTTAAGGTGGACTGAAGGTGGTGTTTAAGGTGGACTGAAGGTGGTGTTAAAGGTGGACTGAAGGTGGTGTTTAAGGTGGACTGAAGGTGGTGTTTAAGGTGGACTGAAGGTGGTGTTTAAGGTGGACTGAAGGTGGTGTTTAAGGTGGACTGAAGGTGGTGTTTAAGGTGGACTGAAGGTGTTTAAGGTTGACTGAAGGTAGTGTTTAAGGTGGACTGAAGGTAGTGTTTAAGGTGGACTGAAGGTAGTGTTTAAGGTGGACTGAAGGTGGTGTTTAAGGTGGACTGAAGGTAGTGTTTAAGGTGGACTGAAGGTAGTGTTTAAGGTGGACTGAAGGTGGTGTTTAAGGTCGACTGAAGGTAGTGTTTAAGGTGGACTGAAGGTGTTTAAGGTGGACTGAAGGTGTTTAAGGTGGACTGAAGGTAGTGTTTAAGGTGGACTGAAGGTGTTTAAGGTGGACTGAAGGTGGTGTTTAAGGTGGACTGAAGGTGTTTAAGGTGGACTGAAGGTAGTGTTTAAGGTGGACTGAAGGTGTTTAAGGTGGACTGAAGGTAGTGTTTTAAGGTGGACTGAAGGTAGTGTTTTAAGGTGGACTGAAGGTGTTTAATCTGTTAAGCCCCAAGCCTGTTTTTCAGGTCTCAGGCTCGAAAATGACATTCCCAGAACAAATGACTATATCTTCACTTCTAAAAGGGAAATCCATCTAAACATTACCCATTGGTGAATAGAGTGATGCGTAGCCAGAATGCCCAAAACCGGAAGCTGGGTTACAGCTCTCATACACTCTATATGAAAACTACTCTTATTGACATAAATGTTATGATGGATTATCAGTTATCATTTCAAAGTGACACAGAGAAATTGGATTAACCTTCAGCAAGCGTTAATATGTGTTTTAATGCCATTGAACACAACTTTTGATCAGAAAACAGCTAAGGTAAGACATATTTGCCGTTTTGCAGTTGTGTGTTGTCTTTGCTGGCTTTCGCTGCCGTGAGTTCTGGTCGCACAGTGATGATACTTATACTATTGGAATCTGTGGAATCTCAGCTTTCAGACGATATAGTTTGTGCAGATTGCATGAAGTATAAAATATTGCTATTGGAGTTATGTGCTAAGTGCGTTAGCAGCCTTTCGCTTAGTGCTGATTCAGAGGCTTGGCGTTAGACTTGTGTTTTGTTTCGGTAAAATGGTTCATATCGTCAGTTAGCTGACTTTCTTCCCGTTAAGTGGGTATGACACATTAATAGGTTGTTAAATGTTAAGAAGCCCTGAGACACAGTTTCGTGAAAATTGTTTTTTTTCCCCCGCCGGCAGGGGGCTATCGGGCTTAACAGGTTAAGGTGGACTGAAGGTGGTGTTTAAGGTGGACTGAAGGTGGTGTTTAAGGTGGACTGAAGGTGGTGTTTAAGGTGGACTGAAGGTGGTGTTTAAGGCGGACTGAAGGTGGTGTTTAAGGCGGACTGAAGGTGGTGTTTTAAGGCGGACTGAAAGTGGTGTTTAAGGTGGACTGAAGGTGGTGTTTAAGGTGGACTGAAGGTGGTGTTTAAGGTGGACTGAAGGTGGTGTTTAAGGCGGACTGAAGGTGATGTTTAAGGTGGACTGAAGGTGGTGTTTAAGGCGGACTGAAGGTGGTGTTTAAGGTGGACTGAAGGTGGTGTTTAAGGCGGACTGAAAGTGGTGTTTAAGGTGGACTGAAGGTGGTGTTTAAGGTGGACTGAAGGTGGTGTTTAAGGCGGACTGAAAGTGGTTATTTAAGGTGGACTGAAGGTGGTGTTTAAGGTGGACTGAAGGTAGTGTTTAAGGTGGACTGAAGGTGGTGTTTAAGGTGGACTGAAGGTAGTGTTTAAGGTGGACTGAAGGTGTTTAAGGTGGACTGAAGGTGGTGTTTAAGGTGGACTGAAGGTGGTGTTTAAGGTGGACTGAAGGTAGTGTTTAAGGTGGACTGAAGGTAGTGTTTAAGGTGGACTGAAGGTAGTGTTTAAGGTGGACTGAAGGTGTTTAAGGTGGACTGAAGGTGGTGTTTAAGGTGGACTGAAGGTAGTGTTTAAGGTGGACTGTAGGTAGTGTTTAAGGTGGACTGAAGGTGTTTAAGGTGGACTGAAGGTAGTGTTTAAGGTGGACTGAAGGTGGTGTTTAAGGTGGACTGAAGGTGGTGTTTAAGGTGGACTGAAGGTGTTTAAGGTGGACTGAAGGTAGTGTTTAAGGTGGACTGAAGGTGGTGTTTAAGGTGGACTGAAGGTGGTGTTTAAGGTGGACTGAAGGTGGTGTTTAAGGTGGACTGAAGGTAGTGTTTAAGGTGGACTGAAGGTGGTGTTTAAGGTGGACTGAAGGTGGTGTTTAAGGTGGACTGAAGGTGGTGTTTAAGGTGGACTGAAGGTGTTTAAGGTTGACTGAAGGTAGTGTTTAAGGTGGACTGAAGGTAGTGTTTAAGGTGGACTGAAGGTAGTGTTTAAGGTGGACTGAAGGTGGTGTTTAAGGTGGACTGAAGGTAGTGTTTAAGGTGGACTGAAGGTAGTGTTTAAGGTGGACTGAAGGTGGTGTTTAAGGTCGACTGAAGGTAGTGTTTAAGGTGGACTGAAGGTGTTTAAGGTGGACTGAAGGTGTTTAAGGTGGACTGAAGGTAGTGTTTAAGGTGGACTGAAGGTGTTTAAGGTGGACTGAAGGTGGTGTTTAAGGTGGACTGAAGGTGTTTAAGGTGGACTGAAGGTAGTGTTTAAGGTGGACTGAAGGTGTTTAAGGTGGACTGAAGGTAGTGTTTAAGGTGGACTGAAGGTAGTGTTTAAGGTGGACTGAAGGTGTTTAATCTGTTAAGCCCCAAGCCTGTTTTTCAGGTCTCAGGCTCGAAAATGACATTCCCAGAACAAATGACTATATCTTCACTTCTAAAAGGGAAAATCCATCTAAACATTACCCATTGGTGAATAGAGTGATGCGTAGCCAGAATGCCCAAAACCGGAAGCTGGGTTACAGCTCTCATACACTCTATATGAAAACTACTCTTATTGACATAAATGTTATGATGGATTATCAGTTATCATTTCAAAGTGACACAGAGAAATTGGATTAACCTTCAGCAGCGTTAATATGTGTTTTAATGCCATTGAACACAACTTTTGATCAGAAAACAGCTAAGGTAAGACATATTTGCCGTTTTGCAGTTGTGTGTTGTCTTTGCTGGCTTTCGCTGCCGTGAGTTCTGGTCGCACAGTGATGATACTTATACTATTGGAATCTGTGGAATCTCAGCTTTCAGACGATATAGTTTGTGCAGATTGCATGAAGTATAAAATATTGCTATTGGAGTTATGTGCTAAGTGCGTTAGCAGCCTTTCGCTTAGTGCTGATTCAGAGGCTTGGCGTTAGACTTGTGTTTTGTTTCGGTAAAATGGTTCATATCGTCAGTTAGCTGACTTTCTTCCCGTTAAGTGGGTATGACACATTAATAGGTTGTTAAATGTTAAGAAGCCCTGAGACACAGTTTCGTGAAAATTGTTTTTTTTCCCCCGCCGGCAGGGGGCTATCGGGCTTAACAGGTTAAGGTGGACTGAAGGTGGTGTTTAAGGTGGACTGAAGGTGGTGTTTAAGGTGGACTGAAGGTGGTGTTTAAGGTGGACTGAAGGTGGTGTTTAAGGCGGACTGAAGGTGGTGTTTAAGGCGGACTGAAGGTGGTGTTTAAGGCGGACTGAAAGTGGTGTTTAAGGTGGACTGAAGGTGGTGTTTAAGGTGGACTGAAGGTGGTGTTTAAGGTGGACTGAAGGTGGTGTTTAAGGCGGACTGAAGGTGATGTTTAAGGTGGACTGAAGGTGGTGTTTAAGGCGGACTGAAGGTGGTGTTTAAGGTGGACTGAAGGTGGTGTTTAAGGCGGACTGAAAGTGGTGTTTAAGGTGGACTGAAGGTGGTGTTTAAGGTGGACTGAAGGTGGTGTTTAAGGCGGACTGAAAGTGGTTATTTAAGGTGGACTGA